GGTTTTGACAGATTATTAATGTCAACGTATACGTATACGTAAACACTTTCTCCACATTGTGGAGAAAAAAACAGATATGTGGCATACCAAGAGATGGTGTTGTATGTTATGAATCTTTTTTCATTGTTTGACATCAGGGGGGGTTGGAATTATTATGGAAAAATAAATAATAATTTGCTGATGCCGTCAGAATTGAAAGAATTTTTAATTAATGTTAAAATGTTGTATTTAAGAAATGTTAAATACAACGCGCAAACGTTATTATTACTTTAATTGTTTATAACTTTCGCGGTATTGCCACTTGCCTAGAAAAAAAAAAAACAAATTAGTCACTTCAAGTAATTCGACTAATTCCACCACCTGTATATAAATATTGATCGCTACGAGAACCAAAGTTCAATTTGTTGAATAATAAATATTGTAGGAAAGATTTGGTTTAATTTTGCATAAAATTAGACGTTGCGCTGGTTGACAAATGGGTAAGTTGAGTTTTTGATAAGAAACATTTTTGTTTGTCTACCAATTTTGAATATTGTTTGGAATTTTTTTTGGTAACTTTTCTATTTACTTTGAAAATCTTCAAAAAACAACACGTTTTATCGAACGGATGGTATGCACCAAGTGATATTCTTAATTTTTCTTCGATCCAGATTCAAAAATGTTGAAGAAAAGCGTGTGGAAAGCCCCTTACATGGTTTCGATCGTTACACTTCTGTTGACATCGTCAGTCAATTTCGTGAAAACGGCTCCAAATGGCTTTTTTGACATGATAATCTTGCATAGCAATGACATGCACGCCCGATTTTTGCCAATAGATTCCTCAATGGAATCACATCAAGGCTCTCATCACAATTCAACTGGAGGTTATGGTGGTTTTGCGCGGGTTTCGTATGTTGTAAAGCAATATCGGCGCGCAAATAAGAATGGCGGTGTTCCGGTTATGTATCTTGATGCGGGCGACATCTTCATGGGATCTCGTTGGTTTAATTTATTCCACTACAAAGTCACCGCCGATTTTATGAACATTTTAAATCCAGACGCAATGGTAAATTTCTCATGAAACTCCTTGAATTTCTTCAAAAAAAAAAAAAAAAAACCAAAAATTGTTTTGAAAAAAAAAAAAAATCTTTTTTTGGTAGTGTTTGGGCAACCATGAATTTGACTATGGAATAGATACACTGATACCATTTTTGAATCGAGTGAAATTCCCAGTTTTATTTGCAAACATTGCAAACTACGACCATCCTTTATATCGAACAAGATCTCTAATGCCATCGGCCATTTTTCGTGTAAAAGGGCATAAAATCGGTGTCATTGGTTATTTAACGCCAGAAACAAAGGAAAAAGCGCCAGGATGTGATGTTGAATTCTCTCTTGAGATACTTGCAGTCAAGTAAATACAAAAAAAAAATAGTCATGAATGACGACCCAAATCCCTTGTTTCATTTCAGCCAAGAAGCAAGAGCATTACAAAGGCATGGTGTCAATATTATCATAGCGCTCGGTCATTCCGGTTTTAAAAGAGATCTGGAAATAGCTGCCAACTGTCCTCTCGTTGATCTTGTAATCGGCGGACACACTGTAGGTTTCAATTTATGATGCGTTTTTAAGAATGCTCTGCTTAAAGTCGATATTATTCTCATCCATACAGCACAAATTTTTGTATACAGGTCAACAGCCTGACAAAGAAAAAATTGAGGTAATTTTTTTCGTAACACATGCGTCATAGAAAAATACAATGATTTTCTTATAGGCGCCTTATCCAACTGTTATCCAACAAAGAAACGGAAAAAAAGTTCCCGGTATTTTCATTGATTTTGACTCAAATCGGCTTCGTTCCGTTAGGATTCCGCTTGAATTTATTTGAACGATTTTTTTTAAATGGATTTATGGAGTTTTTGCTTTTTTTTCAGTTGTGACTGCTTTTGCTTACACAAAATATTTAGGTAATTCCAATTTAATTTAATTTTAATCGATCAAATTAATTTTCTGATTAAATTTTAGGTCAATTGCAATTACGCGTATGTTGAACACGATTTGATATGGCTAGTTACAGATTTTTCAGCATTTTGTATTTCGTAGTTTGATTACAGAGGAAATTTGATAAGCTGGGCGGGAAAGCCAATCCTACTTAGCTCAAGTGTACCACAAGACCCCGAAGTTGGTTTATTTATTCCGCTACAAAGTCAACGCTGACTTCATGAACATTTTAAATTTGTTTTTTAAAGGTACTTGCCTTGCAGAAGGAATATAGTGAAAGAGAAGCATTTTATTCAGGACCTCCAATTGGAGAAAGCAAACTTCAACTAAGCGACTTGAGGTAATAAAAATTTCAGAGACTGTTTCGCAGAGTTTTCATTGCTCTGAAGAGCAGTCTCTGCTGAATTTTGAATGCATTTCGGAATCATAACAAAAATTTTCATTTTTTTCATTCACACATTTTCTGTTTCTAATTTAGGTGCCGTCTCATGGAATGTAAGTCCTGTCTCAAAAATTTCGGTCTTACCTAATTCATTTTCCTCTCCATTAGGTGGTTTGGGCAATATGCTGACTGATTCATTCGTAATTGCTGCGAAAGATGTCAATAACACTCATGTTGCTCTAATTACAAGCGGAGCCATTCGAAGTGGCTTAAGAAATGGAACCATCACTCGAATCGATTTAGAAGAAATAATTCCGTTCAGAGATTCATTGGTTATCGTTAATATTTCAGGCAGATTGCTACTTCAAGCTCTCGAATATTCTGTGCGAAAATATTGTGAACAACGATTTATCGGAACATTTTTGCAAATGTCTGGACTGCGTGTGGTTTTCAGTGTCGATAAACATCCCGGAAATCGCGTTGTTTCAGTGAAAATTCGCACATCAGAATCAACATACGAAAAAGTCGACTTGCTCAAGAATTATAATGTCGTAATCACATCTTTTATGTTCCGACAAAATTTCGGATATAATATGTTCAAAGTAAGTGACGGTGTCTTTTGGATAAGAATTAGACTAATCCATGATTGTTCATTCACAGAGATGTAGGTCAAAGTTATTGTCGATATCGACCATGGATGCTTTTAAAAATTACATTGAGTTTGTTCAAGTGATAAATCCTCTGCATGTACACGAAGGGCGTATTAAAGTTCTCAACCAACCTCCGCTGCAGCCTAATTCACCTCCGTATCATTCACAAAACTAATCAAGGAGAGAGAACATTTTGATTACAATGAATTAATAAATTACTCGAAGGAAGAGAATCTTTGCTTGTTCGATCAGAAGATCAGTACCAATAAAAAACGACTATTATTCAAGAAATTGGACGAAAATTGGACTCTTTTTCATAGGTATCACTCCAGGCAAGACATTTTTTTCCATCAACCAAAGTCGCTCAAAATCTAATGATTTCTATTCCTCGGGACCCCCAATCATCCCGTTAAGTCAGATTTAAAATAACTTTTCTGGGGGGTGAGATAATCGATGGACAAATTCTGCGTACGGTGGACAACGTACGACGTACGACGTGGAACAGACCCACAACAACCATGCTCAAAACGGCCTGATTCGGGTTCTCTGACCTCAGAAACGTCCAGAAAACATGTTTTTGAGGTTTCGTAAATTTTGACCCATTGCAATACTTTCCCCTTACACACTTAGTGTGTGCGGAAAAGTAAAATGAGGATCTTTATTCTTTATATTAACTTATTTGTTTGCAACATTTTTGGATGGTAAGTATGTACATATTTCCTTCATACATTTGATTTTACATGGATTTGTCAAGTTTTTCATACTCAAAAATCATTTGTTTTGTTACAATTGTTCACCGTAAAAACTACAGTTTGCTTTGAATTTCAATCAAATAAAAAAAAAAAATTGCGATAAATATTTTTCACCAAAAATTCTGATATTGGTGACGAAAATAGTTGGTAGATATTTTTTTCTGTGTATTCTATTGTGAAATTAAACGAATATCGACGATTTCATATCAAATTCGTTTAAATTTTGTATATAAGTTGGCCCTCATGAAAAACTAAGATAGCCAAAATTTGGGTCCTAACTTTTCACAATGTCGTAAAAAATCAAGGAATCAATTTTCGAAAAAATGGTCAAAAATCGAAAAAATTGCATATTTCCATTCAATATCATTTGTAAACTTTTATTTAAATACCCGGACATATATACATATATGTATATCGTTAAAAAGGTAATCGATAGGGCTATCCGGGGGTGCCCCCTTTGGTATCCCTCACCCCCCTGTAGTGGTAAAAAAACGCTTTGAAATATTAAAAGTGAAAAATCGGCTTTATGCGTGGTTTTTTCTCGATTTTTTTTGCTCTTTTTATTGGTCATTGGCCTGTAGTGGTAAAAAAACCGTAGCCGTGCAGTGGAGGGCGCGTAATGGAACTACGAGCCTATCACTTTTGGCAAAACTGTTCGTAGTGTTTTGACATTTCATGAAATGTGACTTTAATGTTTGTTGATTTGAACCGTGTTTGAATTTTTGAAATTCTAATTTATTATTGTGAGTTTTTATATGTATTTTATTATTAAAAAAATATGTGAAAATATATGTAAGTATTGAAAATTTCAAAAAAACAAGTGCAAATTTCTTGAATTGATTTGGTAAAATTTCTTATTATTTACAAGGTGCGTTTTTCTTTAAGGAGTCAGTCAAAAATATATTTCTTTTTACTACATGTGTTTGTTATTACTTCATTAAGCGTCATTAAGTTCAATATTTTTAAATTTTCGCGAATATTTTGAACACCAATCCCACAAAATGTAAAAAATATAAAATATTTTGATAAAATATATCGTATTTTTTTAGTTGTTGAGAAAAATAGACAGAACATTTTAGTAACATAATCTAGTCTATCTTCATCAACATGACAAGTCTAGGGGCAAACTACTTCACTTTAGTAATTCTCATAATTCAATCTAGTACTCCGATAATTCCAAAAAATTCTATATAATTCCATACAATGCCACATAATTCCAAACAGTTTTTGAAGTATTTTAAATAGTTGTTTATTTACACAGAATTTTTAAATGAATATTATTATTTCAACGATAATATTTTTCGATATTTTTTATATTTTCATAAATATATTTTCATACTTGTATATCACATCAATGATACCGGTTTGACATTTCTCATACAAACAGATTTCGGAGAGTTATTTTGAATTGGTTTCATTTGTATGTGATCAAAACGAAGGGAACGTTCCGAAAATGATTTGTACGACAATGTGTGTGTACGTGAAGAGCGATGCTTTGAATGTATGAGTATACAACGTCGCTGCTATGCAAATTGTACAACACATCGCAGTGCAAACAATTTTCGAAACGATTCGTTCAGTAAATGAAGCCAATAAAATAGTTTGGTTTCGGTTGTATATACTTGCATGAAAATATATTTATGAAAATTAAAAAAATATCAAAAAATATTATCGTTGAAATAATATTATTCATACAAAAATTCTGTGTAAATAAACAACTATTTAAAATACTTCAAAAACTGTTTGGAATTATGCGACATTGTGTGGAATTATATAGAATTTTTTGGAATTATCGGAGTACTAGATTGAATTATAAGAATTACGAAAGTGAAGTAGTTTGCCCCTTGTGACAAGTTGGTATAGCAGGTTAAGTTGGCATTGAAATGTCGACAAATATTGCCTCTAAACTGCTTTTATCAGCTTTTATTGAAAATATCGTTTGAAATCTTATTTATTCGATGCTATCGATTTTATCTTGAATTATTCATGCTCGACAAAAGTGAGAGACTCCCCTAGCAAACCAGGGTCACGAAATTTTCTGTCAAGCTTATGACAGTGTAGTCTGAATCAATAGGTTCATTTTCTGGAATTCAAAACTTATACATTAACCAAATTTTTCACGGTATAATATTGAATGATTTATTTATGAAATTATTTAAAAACGAAATGTTAATTTTGTGGCCAAACAATGGGCGTAATCCAATCGATATAATGGGCAACACGAGTATAAATACTAGGCAATTCCAACGCGCAACCATGAGCAAAACTAACAATTGCAACTATTTCGACAGTGTTTGGATCATTATTTGACATTTTTTGTAGCGATCCTCCGCTATCGCCTTGGCAAGAATCCATTCTCCATTTTGGGTCGTATGCACAATATTGTCCGGGAATAAGACCATCTTTAAACACTGCATGATTCTTCAATGCAAAATGATTCAAATATGTATTGTTGCAATCATTTAAAGGCTTTGTATTAATCTCAATTTTGCGTAGCTCGTTTGATAGAGACGTTCCTGAAGTTAACACAAATAAGTTTTTTAATGAACTCAAAATCAAAACTCTTCAACCTACTAGCAGGATCTGTATTGCCCCAGCCGATCACAATTACTTTTCTATTAGTATCTACATCAGCCATATTGGTGTGCAAGCACGCTGGTCTAATCGCATTGGTAAACCGAATGTTTGTTGACAGTCGAATGAGTCCAATATCGTTCTTTTTCGTGGTAATGTTATAATTTGGATGACGCGTGTAATTCTAGCAAGTAATTAGAAACTGTAGAAAAAGAAAAATACAAAATAAAAATTGTATGTGAATTACTCACTTTTATATTATAATGTACGGCCTTAACAGCATCAGAAATGGTATCGGTTAAATTCACCTGTTTTTTAAAAAAATAAACATTTTTAATAAAGAAAATTATCTCATCAGTTTGTTGTTTTCACTTACTTTTCCCAATCGCACTATCACTGGTGGCTGCCTATCTGTCACGCAATGTGCAGCGGTCATTATATAGAACTCTGATATTATTGTACCACCACAGCCAAAATTTAAATTCAATTCGTCGCTGTAAAATATGGCGGCCTTTTTAAACAGAAAAAAAAACGTGAAATACATTTGAAAAATCGATAAACGATCAATCTTACCATCCAGGGAAATTCACCTTGATCAGCAATATCACCAAGTATTATACGTTCTTCTACTCTTATGTTTTCATTCCTAGGAAATGCTTTGCATGCTAATTTTGAAAAAGAGATAATTTTCTAAATGAAATTAAATGTTTGATCGAATACTTGTGGTGTCATGTCGTTCATTAAAAGCGTATTACTGTCAGTGTAGCATGTTGACACACATTTTCACATTATATGGACGAGATGGCACCACACATTTTTGTTCTTTTAGCATTAATTATTAGAGTGTAATTTGGGAAAATTCTTTCGATTTTCTATGCATTTTAATTCGAAATTACCATTTTTGGCAGTCATTTCAGCATTTGCAACACTTTGCTTTTCTATTTTATATTTATCAGCTGTCCCATTTCCTGAAATGGTTTATGATTACAGTTCAATGGGATATTTTTTTTATATAAACGTGTATAATTGAATGAATTATTTTGATCCCCATTGGATGTGTCATTTTGTATCTGTTATTCACATTTGCACCTACTTCGATTTCTACTATTAGTATGCATATTTGCAAACTTACCAACATCACCATGCTTTGGTTGAACAACAACGTTAATGTATTTTTTGGCGTGACCTGCTTCATTGCTAGCATGGCAACTATACATTCCTTCATCGCTACGATCAGTATTATTCTTTTCAATCAAGGTAACAGTGGTTCTAAGAAATGAAACTGCCACTCCGGATATTATAACTCGTTCAAAACTATTTTGGTCTGTGTGTGTCCATTGCACAATCGGCGATGGGAAACCTTCTGACGAGCATTCCAGCTTCAATTCGTCTCCTTCAGTTATCGTTAGATTTTCCATTTCGGGAAAAATGCGAATGATAGGTGCTTGCTGAACATTAATTTTGGAAGTTTGCATTGCTGAACCAACTTCATTTGATGGAACTAGTAGTTGGGGTACTTGTGGAACAGGCTATTAAATATTTTGAAATTGTCAGCAATATTACGGATAAATGGAATAAAAATCACTTACATCGTTATATGCACATTTTTGGACATTAGCACTATCCTTTATGCTATTGATCATGTCAATCTTTTCGGATAATATTTCCAACTGAAAATGTCGGAAAAGTTTATTTTTAAAATCATCGTAAAAATGAAATTCATTTTCAAGTGAAGAGCAACAAGTGATAGTGCTACTTACGTCTGAAATGTAGCCATCAAAACCTCTGTTAGCTTCTACTTCTATGTTCAACGTAATGCAATTGTCATAGCCACCAATGTACAAATTCTTCCCCAATTGAATATTATTGGTGCGTTTAACCGGTTGTCGGATAATTTTTTGTGAATTGCCAACTTTAAGAAAACATTCGTTGTTTTTATATCCAAGTGAAATTAATGTCCACCTGTTCACATCAACTTCTTCTTCTGAATAAATGGTGACTAGTTCATAGTCTAAATAAGTAAAAACATTGATTTTTGAATAGATTTTAAAATACAAATAGATCGAAAATCTAACGCTTATTCAACTTACCAGTTCTTAATTTAAATGCGTAGTGTCTATCTTTAATAATAAGTGCCACGAAATTTCCCACTCCATTATAATGAAATTGAGCCGCATACAAAAGAACACTATCTTGGTTATTTTGGGGTCTCACATAGAATTGAATGTTTGCGATTGAATTCGCTATTTTAAGTGAAATGAAACTGCCATTTTTGAATAACAAATTGTTAATATCCAAGTGTTTAGTATATTGGCATCGATCACCGGTTTTATTTAATGGACAGAAACATTCAAATCCTAAACTGGTGTTTTGACAAAGCCCGGTTCCGCAAACGCCTTGTGAACATTTCGTTGTACCTGGAACTATTAATTTATATACGCATTTGAATGAATGAATTTTTCTTTTCTTTCAGTTTCTAAGCAATGTGCAAACCTTGCACTGCAAGGTACGCCCAGTATGCATGCGAGCCAATATTTGAATGTTTGCCATTTTTAATTATTTAGAGTTAAAAACAAGTATTTTGTTGACAATGGCTGTGGAAACATACTCAAAATGTGATTAAATTGTGCTCAGAAACGAAAAATTTCAATTGGACCGCATATTGTGTATACCTAATCGTTTTTTGTTTATTAAATATTTTTTGTAAGAGCAAAAAAGTCGGAGCTTACCTTCAGTTGGTGTTGCAGATGTAGTTGTCGTTGTCAACACAGTATCATCAACACAATGCCTTGAATTTTTCAAACAAGATCTATTCTCATCGATATGAGCATCAATAAGAAATGTAGATAATTTTAGTTAAAATCATCGATTGATTTACCATTTAAAATTAAACTTACTCGGAGCAAGGGAGGACATTGTATCCACTGACAGCGCTATCGGACATGTTTACGGGAACATTTTCGTCGTAAACGGCGATGCAACCTTTGAATCCATGTGTGTGACGACTTCCAGTAAATTCTCCCATATTCAGCGCACCACCTGTTCAAAGTTAATAACTTTAAGTTATCGAACACATTTAATTGTTCACGGAAAATCAAATTGACGTTTCATCTTACCAATAAAGATGTTGCCTGATAAATTAATGTAGTTTTTCGTTGGTTGTAATGCTTCAATGAATATCCTTTCGTTCTCACATATGACGCTAGCACTACTACCATTACGATATAAAACAGCGTTGTGAAGTTTTCCATCATCAACACGGATATCAAGTACGACAGTTGTTTCATTGCCACTAAAGTGGAATGTGGTTTTCAAGAAACCACCAACAACCGCTAAAGCGATGAAATCATGTCTATTATGTGCAACGCCATTGGGTTGTCCATACCAAATCAATAATCCATTTGGTTCCATGGTCGAGAATGACACACCCAATGAAATATATTCTTTGGCGGGACCCTTTACTACAGTTGATTTATTCAATTCAATGTAACTGTTTCCTGTATATTGACTTGAAAATGTGACTGGTGCATTGTGCTGACAATATTCTCCAGTGAAATGAATCGGGCAGTGGCAAATCCTTGTGTTGCCTTTATTTGCGCAAATGCCATTGTTACATGGATTTTGTGCTAAACATGGATTAACAACTTCCACACAATCGTGGCCAGAACATTCAGGCTATTAAACATTTTAAAATTGTCAGTAAAATTGCAGTTAAGGCCCTATTTGCTAAGATTGTAATCGTGGACGATTTTTTTCGAAATCGGTGAACAAATCGGTCGCCGATTATGAAAAAACCTTTGCCGATTAAGATCGTGAACGTTTTATAATAATCGTTAGACGATTGAAATCGTCCACGATTAAAATCGTGTGCTTAGCAAATAAGGCCTTTAAACGGAACAAAAATCAATAAACTTACAGCTGTATCCTCACAGTACTTGATATTAGCACTATTTATGGCACTAAGCATATCAATCTTTTCAGATGAAACTTCCAACTGAAAATATTTGAAAAGTTTTCAATTTAAAAATATTAAAATTACTTTGTGATAGTGCTCCTTACGTCTGAAATGCAACCATCAAAACCTCTGTCAGCTCCTATTTCGAGGTTCGTTTTAATGCTATTGTCATAGCCGCCAATGTACAAATTCGTGTTCCAAATCATATAATAATTGGTGTTATTTGTTCTGTGGGTAATTTGCGGTGAATCGCCCACTTTAAGAAAACCAACACCATTTTCAAATCCAAATGAAATTGATGTCCACTTGTTCACATCAAATCCTTTTTCTGACCAAATGATGTTCTTATAAATACCTGAATAAGTGAAAATTTCGTTCTTTTGAAATGGGTCCTTATTTACGTAGGTTACTCCTTATGTATTTAGCCTTTTAAATTTTTAGTGTTGCTCGATGCAAACCATTGTCATATTCGTAAAGCTTGACATTCTGTAGCATAAACCTCCTCAGAACGATCTGTCATACGAGTGCTATTTGCATTGTTTACAGTGACTTGTAATCTGCGTCTCAGCCAAATTAAGGAAATTAACCCGTGAACATTTTCGTGTGATTATTTTTTACAACTTTCGGCGTGGATTATCAAGACAGCAGTGTGTCGATGAAATCCATTGGACTTCTGGTGATGAAGCCCCATCCTTTGCAACTGTGAAAAACTGGTACAACGAATTCAATCGAAGTCGTCATTCGCTAAAAGACGAGTTTAAAGAAGGTCGTCCAAAATCAGTTGTTGTGTTAAAATACATCGATGCTGTCAGAAATATGATAATGGAAGATTGTCATGTGACATACTGTGAGATTTAGGCATCTCTGTGCATTTCTTCCCACAGCATACATACAATTTTGCATGAACATTTAGCCGTGAAAAACTAGTCATGTGACAACAGTTCCACTAGAGGATCGTAAGACCGTCAATTCTGATTGGTATACCACCATTTGTTTGCCAAAAGTGTTTGGTGAATTGAGGAAAAACAACCCCCTTCGCAAAATAATTCTTCATCATGACAATGCGAGCACTCACACATCTGATCCAACAACTCAATTTTTGACCTCTCAAAACATCGAATTGATGGGTCATCCGCCGTACAGTCCTGATTTGGCACCCAAAGATTTCTTTTTGTTCCCGAGCGTAAAGAAAAAAACTGCATGGTCAACGTTTTGCGACGCCCAAAGAAGCAGTTGATGCACATTTTTGGAGATATCACTTTCGGAGTGGCATAAATCTATGACAAATGGTTCGAGCGAATGCAAAAGTGTATCGATCATCATGACGAATATTTTGAAAAACAATGAAGCCACTTTCAATAGTAAATAATTGTTTTTTCATTATTAGGCTAGATACATAAGGAGTGGCCCTCGTACTAATTGAAATGGCGAATTTTCGGACGCAAACTTATGTCTTCAAACATACCGCTTTTGAATCGGAATTGATAGTGGCTATTCTTAATAAGAATAGCTGCAAAATCTCCAATCCATCCTGAATGAGCAACATACAAAAGTACACTATCTTGGTTATTACGTGGTCTCACATTAAATCGGATATTAAATTTGGATACATTTGCTGGGTTGTATGTTTGGAATACAACGAAATTGTCGCCATTGAATGACACACCGCTTTCATTCTGGTTTTGAGTGTGTTGACTTGTTATATTCATAACGGTTTGCAACTTGAAAACATTTTCCGACCCTATACTTGCATAAGTTTGACCTGTAAATCGTGAATTATATACGTGTTTTTAAATGCCAAAATAGTGAATCCTTCTTTTTTGTGAACTGAAAAGCAAACATTTGAGCTAAAAACACACTCCATCGCTCGCATTTTTGTGATACCGGAATGGCTGTCAAAATTGCAATTTATATATGCTACACACAGAGAAGTAATACAATGAAAACTAGATGGCTATGTATTCTCTTTTGTGCGGCTCTTCTTCGTTTATGCTTTGAAGAAGGTCCGCATAAAAGAGAATACACAAAAACGATATTTTGTATGAAATTAGATGGAAAAATACAATTTTATACGGTGTGTCAACTAGTTTCGAATTTTATACGACAAGCCATCTAGTTTTCATTGTATAATTTCTTTTTGTGTAATCGGGGTATTCAAAGCACCTAGTACCGTACACCTAGTACAATCCCATGAAATCCCAAAATCGGTACTACTTCTTCTTTTTCCACACAATATACACGCAAGCGTTACATATGTATGCC